GGGATGGGAGGGAGGGAAGGGAAGGGGGGAGAGAAAAATAAAAAAATTAATTAGCTGGGCACTGTGTGTAGTTCCAGCTACTTGGAAATTTGAGGCAGAAGGATCACCTGAGCCCAACAGATCGAGGCTGCAGTAGCCATGATTGTGCCACTGCATTCCAGCCTGGGTGATAGAATGAGACTTCAACTCAAAAAAAAAAATTTAATTTAATTTAATTTAAATTAAAAAATAAAAGTAATCTCCATCTTATAAAAGATCAACTTGTCCTCATATTAATGACACATGCATTCACCAACTAGACCGTAAGTAATTTCCAGGAAGCAAATAATACTGTCCCTACCCCACAAACATGGCACAATGCTGGGTGCACAGCGAGCTGCTGGTAATTACTTGTGGATTACTTGTCATGGGTTGAACCATGACAGATAAAAAAAATCTCAAACACTAAAGAAGCTCAGAAAGCCTCCAGAGATAAAAGAGCTATCCGTTTCCAAATTATCAATGTGCCAATGCTTCATAGACCAGGTGAAGCCAGCATCCTCCAAGAGAGAACTCAGAGAGTGTAGTGGTGCAAACACAACTCACTGTAGCCTCGACCTCCTGGACTCCAGTGATTCTTCCTCCTCAACTACCTGTGTAGCTGAGATGACAGGTACGTGACACCATGCCCAGCTAATTTTTTTATTTTTGTAGAGACGAGGTCTCGCCATGTTGCCCAAGCCCATCTCGAACTCCTGGGCACAAGCGATTCTCCTGCCTCGGGATTTCAGGCATGAGTTATCACAAGCCTGGCTTAAGCTTCATTTTTTTTTTTAAGATTGGAAAATATAGTTTATTTAGAAAGTAACTTAGAGAGGAGATTCACCTTCCCAAAGTAGAGGAGGGGGCCAAAGCCAAGAAACACAGCAGCCGTAGCTCAAGGAGCCACGTGGACACACCAGAGTTTAACAAAGCAATGGTCAATTTTCATTTTCAACAGGGCTCCTCTCCCAGCAGCCTGAGGGAAGCCTTAGATAACACCTGAGAATTAAGCTTCTATGAAGAGAGCTGGGCACCAAAAGGACCCTCTGAACAAAATGAAAAAATGTAAGTCTAATGACAGTGGCTGGATAGTCTCAAAATTGGCTGACCCATCACTGTCAGGGTACTTTTCACACAATCATTTTCTCAACACACATTTCTTGGGCTCATGCTGGACTCTGAGAAGACAGCGTGGACTAAAACAGCCACAGACCTGCCTCCCACCTGACCTTGACTGGAACACCTTTGTCAACCTGGGAGAAAATCCCTAGGGTTTAATCACAGGCCTGTATTTAGCTTCTCATTTAATATGTCTCATTAAAGACAAATGAATGCCAGCTTATTCAACTTTGTAGACAAGAAAGAGCAGGAAAAAAAAAAGCAAATTCATGAGAAGATGTAATTATAACCTCAAAAGCTATCAAGAGATGGGAACAGAGCGAAAGAAGATGAAATCAGATGGAAGCAAATGGACTGTCCTAAATCGGAGCTCAAAGAACCAACCACACAAGGGCAGGGTGGGGGACCCCTCACGCAGCCTAAAAAGAACTGAGGTGGTGATATAAGGGGAACTAGGGAACCAGGAGACGAGGGTTCTGGTTCTAGCAGCAGGGGGAGGCAAGTCTCAAAGTGGGGATTTGCTTTTCTCATCAGAACTCTAGGGGATTGAGCCAGGACAGCTCTCAGGCCCACCTGGCTCCACCAGCACAGAAATGACATTTACGTTTGCACACCACTGTGTCCCTAGCACCTAACACCATGCCCAGTGCACAGCAAGGACTCCCCAAGTACCCGGGAATGAATGACAGTGCTAACAGAAACTCTACAAGTTACTCCTATAATGTGTGTCCCTTCCCATTGCCCTTCCCTCCCACAAACCTTAATACATTCTTGGGTTCAAAAAACAGAAACAATGTCTGGACAAAAGGGGTCATAATTCTATAACCACATATATATTCCTTTTTTTTTGGTCAGGGTCTCACTCTGTTGCCTGGGCTGGAGTACAGTGGCACAATGCTGGCTCACCACAGCCCCGATCTCCTGGGCTCAGGCGATCCTCCTGCCTCAGCCTCATGAGTAGCTGGGATGATAGGTGCATGCTACCACACACAGCTAACTTTTTATTTTTTTGTAGAGACAAGGTGTTCCTATGTCGCCCAGGCTGGTCTCAAACTCCTGAGCTCAAGTGATCCTCCGGCCTCGGCCTCCCAAAGTGCTGAGATTACAGGCATGAGCCACTATGCCTGGTATATACATTCCATTTTAAAAGGATCATTGACACGTTGGATTTCAGTCAGAAGAGGGTAACCCACCTGGTGAAGAGTTTACCATCTCCCATAAGGACAGGATGACATAATGGCTGAAGGAACTAAGGACATTCTGTTCTGGGGACAATAGGAGCTAAGAACAGCCATGGAGATGCTGTCAAGTATTTTGAACAATGCATCAGTATAACTCTAGAAGGCAAATGGGGAAGCAAAGATAAAAATTTGAAGTAGGCAGTGAGTGCCTGTATCTGCTTCCAGTTCCCAATTCTGCCCTTGAGCACTACTGACTGCGGCTGTCCCTCCCTCAGGTGTCTCCTGAGATGTAGGAAGAAGTTTTCCATTCACGCCTCATTAAAATGAAGCCTGCTGCTTCTGTGTATGGAGGCAGAAGACACCCGGATTTTTAAAGACACATTTAAATAAAACATATTAGATGAGACTGGGCACGCTCAGGGTAAAACGACACATGTGATGGAATACTATGCAGTCATAAAGAACAAAATTGTGGTCTTCGCAACAACTCAGATGCAGCTGGAGACCATCATGCTAAGTAAACTATAACAGAAACAAAAAAACTGAATATCGCACGTTCTCACTCCTAAGCGGGCCCTGATCACTGGTCACATGAGCACAAGGGTGGGATCAGCAGACACTGGACACTGTTAGGGAAGGGAGGGGGAGAGGGAGGCACGTGGCAACATGCTAGGTACCTGGTCCACTACCAGAGGGCCAGAGAAGGCCAGTTAGAAGCCTAAACTTCACCTGCACATTGCACACAACTCACTCACGTAAAAATCCTCACAGGTACCCTACAACTCTAAGATAAAATATTAAATAAATAAGACATATCCTATAAACTACTGTCTTGTAGGTGAAACCATCCCACATGGGGGACTCTGACAGAGTTCTAGATAGGGCATGTGGAGATGTTCATGGGTTTCTGGGTTTGGGCTGAGAAAATTGAGAAGCAAACACAAGCAGCAGAACTTGAGGAAAGAAGTCTAGCTGCAATTTCTGCTTCTACCCTAATTGCACTTGTGTCCATTAACAATGGCAACCACAATCATTCTTCCTTATCTGCAATATGTGCTAGGGTTTGCGGCAGGGCTTTTGTCGTTGTTGTCTCCTAAGGCACAATAGTAGGCTTCCGGGCACCACGAACGTCTACCAGGTTTCCACCGCCACTTACAAAGCCCCTATCATGACACCGGGAAATGGCTGTCACCTTCCACCTCCTTTCTCAGAGACCCGTGCAGCCCAGGAGGGGGGAGACCTGGGACCCAAGCCCAAGCCCTTCTACTCTGAACACCGAGCTCCTCCCGCCAGGGCATGGCACTCAGGAGAGACCAGCCTCACACCTAGACCCACAGCCCCCTGAGAGCCCGGGCAGGAAGCAGAGTGCCACAGAGGCAGACATACCCTGACACTCGGGGGACAAGGGGCGGGTGGCAGTCCGAGAGCACCACGGGAAAGAGCAGCCAGTGGAAAGAAGCAACAGGATGAGGGCTGGGAGAGCTGGGAGACCTGGAACAAAGGTCACACACGTCAAGCAAAAGAGCAGCAAGACTGCCCTGCATGCTGGGCTTCTGTATCTGTTCTTTTATTTATTTGTCTATTTAGAGACAAGGGTCTCACTCTGTTGCCCAGGCTGGAGTGCAGTGGTGGGATCGTAGTTCACTGTAGTCTCCAACTTCTGGGCTCAAGATTCTCCTGCTTTAGCCTTCTTGTTGCCTCAGCCTCCCGAGTGGCTGTATCTGTTTTGTTACCAATGGCTTTACCCAGTGGAGGAAGGAACCGGGAAGCTGCTCTAGGTGCCGTTTCTTGCCACAACTGCCCTAAAATAGGAATACTACAGTCTTTGCCATTCTTGTCAATCAAGCTAAGTCGTTGATTACCTTTCCCTTAGTTTTCAGAAGGTATTTCATTCATTCGTTCGGTGGTATTCTGATCTGAGTCAGAGGCTGGAGCAGTGGGAAAGCAGACGGCCCTGCCCTGGGGTTGGTGACACTCAACACAGAGCATGGTAGAAGCTTCTCAACCCCAAGATCCAGAGCCAGACTGAATGTCACAGCTGGAGAAAATGGGGGGAAGGGGGACCTCCCAACTCAAAAACTTCCACACTGGTGACCAGAGTCCCTGGCAGCAAGCCAAGTTCACGCTTTCAGATGTGTGGATGCCCAATAAAGGCTCAAATTATAGAACTTGTATCAGGATAGAGAAAGGAACTGCTTAATGCCACAAGAGGAGAGCTGAGGACCATTTTCTCTCTTAGAAAAGGGGTGACTCCATCTTCAGAAACAAAGTCTGGGGCCAGGCACAGCGGCCCACACTTGGAATCCCAGCACTTTGGGAAGCTGAAGAGGGAGGATGGCTTGAGACAAGAAGTTCAAGACCAGCCTGGGCAACACAGCAAGACTGCATCTCTATTTTTTAAAAAAAGAAAGAACTGGACACAATGGCTCACACCTATAAACCCAGCACTTTGGGAGGCCAAGGAGAGAGGATTGCCTGAGTCCAGTGGTTCAAGACTAGCCTGGGCAACTCTGTGAGTCCACATCTGTATAACAAATCAAAAAATTAGCTGGGCATGATGGCACATGCGTGTAGTTCTAGCTACTAGGAAGGCTGAGGTGGAAGGATGGCCTGAGCCCAGCAAGTAGAGGCTGCACCGGCCATGAGAGTGCCACTGAACTCCAGCCTGGGTGACAGAGTGAGACTCTGACTAAAAAAAAATTCTTTTTATAAAAAAGAAAGAAAATATATATTATCCAAAATGGCTTAGTAGAGTATAATTCTTGTACTTCTTCAAACCTCCGAGGAAATAAACATACTAGAATATACAACAAACTTTATGGCTGCATCAGTGAAACGTAAAATCTTGTAAAGGGCACTATTACAGGCATTTTTAACCAATTAAAATAATTTTTTAAGGATAATTTTTAAGTTAAAAAATAGGATGAAATTATTTGTAAGACTGCAGGTGAGATTGAAGTTCTAGCTTAAGATTTTTCTTGTTTTCTATATTCCATGCTTTAATTCAAACACTCATTTGCTGCAAACAGAAAAATAATACATGAGTCATAACTCAATACTGAACACTGAGACACCTAAAATCGTTGTTTTATACTTAGTAAGTTGCTTATTGGAGCAAGTTATCTTGTACTAACACTTTTTCATTGTTGGAAACGCCATGATCCTCTTCTCCCTCCTTGTTTTAAAATCACCCCATGCTCTAATCTGGAATGATTATTTGAATACTGTTTGGATAACAGAGTTTATTTTCAGGGCTGGAGTTATACAACGGCCATTCATGTGAATGAATCTTTTAGTATAAAAGAAAAAAGTCACAGACTCTTATCTCTTAGTATTAAATAGTTCCCTTCCCTAGACTGGTCCAGACTCAACAATTGTGGGTTTTGTTGTGATGGTGGTTTTTTGTTGTTTTTCTGAGACGGAATCTCACTCTGCTCCCCAGGCTGAAGTGCAGTGGCACCATCAGGGCTCATAGCAACATCAATCTTCGGGTTCAGGAGATCTTCCCGCCTCAGTCTTCTGAATGCCGGGACTACAAGCGCGCCACCATCACGCCCGGCTAATTTTTAAAAATATTTTTGTAGATTTGGAGTCTCACTGTGTTGCCCAGGCTGGTCTGGAATTCCTTGGCTCAAGTGATCCTCCTGACTCAGCCTCCCAAAGGGCTGGGATTACAGGCCTGAGGCACCACGCCCAACACACTTGAGCTTCTATTAGGCACCGACATATTTTAAGAGAGCACAGAATCGGCTCCCAGGGGGAAGCTACAAACCAAACCTGTTCCAGGTGTAGACTGCAAATTCGAATCTGCCTTACCTCTAAACACAGGAAAAAGAGCGGGTTTGGTCATTTCTTCCCTGGTAGCAGCTTCTCTTCCAAACGCAGGCACCTGTGCAAAATGCCGAGGACACAAAATCATCTCTGCCCTGCATGTCTCCCCCAAACCCGACAGTAAAGAGGGCGAGCGCCGGACGCAGGAGGACCCAGGCCTGCCACCAGCCCCACCCCACGGCTGGGGAGAGCGGATCCCGCTGCACCTTCTGATTTCTCCTAAACCGCCCGCAGGCCCCCTGGAGACCGCCGCGCACGACCCGGAGCCCACGCCCCT